GCCCCAGTTTGGGTCCTTGATGCCTAAGTGTCCTGACTCATGGATGCTCCCTGGTTCCACTAGCAACTAGGTGGTTCCCCACCCCACACCAGATATGAACTTAAACATTATAGCAGAGATCCCCTGTCCCAAGTAACGTCATGGACTGCCATCTGCTTTTCAGGTCACGAGAATCTGGGGGAGGAGAGCGAAGAAGGGAGGAGCCAGGCATGGTGGCCACAGCTATAATCCCAGCGCTTGGAGACTGAGGCAGGAAGATCTTGAGTTCTAATCCAGCCTGGATTACCCTCAAAAAATGACATAGTGTTACCCTCAAAAATAAAAAGAAAGAGGAAGGAAGGAAAAGAGGAAAGGAGGGTAGAAGGGTGAGAGGGCTATCCCTCATGGTTCCCTGCTTTCTGCTGCCTTGGGCCCAGGACACTCATTTAGGGATTAGCCTTCAGAATTTAGGCTAATTTAGGGTTCCTCTGTGTTCATCTTAAAAATGTCTCATGATTGGGCTGGGAGTGTGGTGCAAGCGATAAGAGTGACTGCCTAGCAACTGTGAGGCCTTAAGTTCAAATCTCTCTTGTTGCTGGGTATGGTGGGGCAAGCCTGTAACTCCAGTTACTCAGGAGGTGGACATAGGAGGATCTCAGTTTCAGGCAATCCTAGGCGAAATCACAAGACCTTATCTGAAAAAAGCAAAAGGACTGGGGGTGTGGCTCAAGTGGTACAGTGCTTGCCCAGAAAGCCCTGAGCTCATACACACAGAGGCTCCTGCTAACATTTAGCTGGTATGCCGAATTGGCAGCCATAAAATTCCACATAATATCTTTAAATGAAATGTGGGCAAGGGGCTTTTAATTTGAATTTCAAATCTGTTCAATTTACTGTAATAGGATTTCTTATAACATTACTGGCTTCTCTGATGACTTAAAAGTTGGGACTGTCTCCGCCCATAAGCACTCAAGCCCAGTGATGGTGCCGAGTGTGGCTACCATGTCTCATTCTGAGTCTTTCGCCTTTCTGGGCTGCTTCTCTTTTAAATTCAAGGTAAATAATCTGGTCTGGGGTCTAGGAGGTTGTTGGTCGGAGGCCAACAATTTTGTGAACTTGATACTATTTACTTCCTGTTCTGAGCCACCCCAGGCTTTTTCAGCAGAAGCCAACAAACGGGGGCTTAGCCTAAACAGGACAGCTGCAGGGTGTAGGCCAGGCAATGGGCAGGCCAGTGTGCAGGCAGCGGGACAGATGCTTTCAGTCCAGGGCAGGCAGCAGGAGGACACTTGAGAATTAACCTAGACCAGGGTTGAGTGTCTCCTCAGAGGACACAAGGATCACAGGCATCCCTCCTCCTGCCTTTTGACGGTACCATCCCAAATTCCAGGGCCTGGACATGGGGTTGATTCTGACCTAAGGAATGGGTCTGAAGAAAATAGTACAACCTTCCTGACCCTTGGGGTATTTTTGAAATGTGCAAAAGGGATTATTTGTCTCTTTGTCTAGGGGCATGTCCAGGATGGCCTCCTAGAGTCTGAGTCCAGCCCTGGGTGGGGGCCAGGTCTCTCAGACGAGAGTTCTGTCTTCCAGAGCTGAGCAACAGGGCAGAGCCCTACATGTGTGGGTCTTCTCTTGCACACCTTCCTTCAATCCTTCAACTCTGCCTTATTCTCATGTTTTCTTTTTAGATTTGGACATGGCTGGTGAGCCCAGACCAGGCCCCACCCGGCCTGGCCAGAAGAGGCAGCAGGGCACAGCTATCTTTTGGTGAGTCTGTCCAGGTGGTCTGTTGGTGAGGGAGGCTGTTTTCTGGCTTGTTTGGGTTCCCCTGAGATGGGACAAGGACCCCAGTAGGCTCCCTAAGTATATTGCTTAGAGCCCTGTGAGGAGGTCCCTTGCCCCTCAGCCTCAGGTTTTGTCTGTAAACTAAGGGAATTTATCCAGGGCATTCCAGCACCCCTTCTGGCTAATGGACTGAGCCACCATTCTGAGGACTGAGGGCAGGGGCGTAGGTTCCCTGACACAAGCCTCTCCTCTGGTAGCTGGGACTTTTTCCAGGTATAAATGTCTGGGAAGTAGTAAATGGGAACCTTCTGGGATGGCATGTTGCCCCTTGGAACCTGCAAGCAATTTTAAAGAAACTTTGAAGCCTTTTCAAAGTTCTGCCAAGCCAACATGCTATATTCCCAGGGGTAAAGAGGGTGTGTAAGCCATGATGGCCTCTTTGTCCCCTCAGCAGGGCATCTGTAATGGCTGCAGTCAGCTCCTGGCCTCATTGTGGGCATTTGGATGGTTTCTGAGGTGAGGTGGGGAGAACAGCACTGTTCTAAACACAGTTCCAGTTACTTTGGTGTTCATCTCTGCCCGTTTCCCAGAAAGTAGAGTGGCAGGGCTGGATGTGGGCTGCTCTGAGGTGCCTCTGCAGCTCCATGTTGACCTCAGGAATGATTCAGTGTAACCCTATAGTAGACCAGTGGGGTAACTGAGGGTTTTTAAGCTTGTGTGTCCTTGGTGATGCAGACCTGTTGCCTCTTGCTGTGTGCTTAATGCTATGTGTCACCTTGCCATCACATGTGCAAGACTTTCGTCTAGGGAGTGATGTGGTTCTGGGACTTTCTGTCTGATGGGGGGGCTAGTGGTTCTCCTAGTTATAATATGTGGATTTTTTTTTCCTTTTCTTTCTTTTTTCTGATAGTACTAGAATTTGAACTCAGCACCTGTGCTCAGTAGACAGGCACTCTACTATTTGAGCCATGTCCCCAGCCCTTTTTCTTTCTGTTGAGACGGAGTCTATTCCTATAGTGCAGTTTGCCTTGAGCTCCCAATCCTCTTGCCTCTTCCTTTTAAGTGCTTGGATTGTAGAAATGTGCCACCATGCCTGGTTCTCTTTCTTTTCTTTTCTGTCTCTGTCTCTCTGTCTCTGTCTCTGTCTCTCTCTCTCTCTTTCTCTAATTAATTAGTTTTTTGTGGCGCCGGGGTCAAACACAGAGCTTCATGAATGCTAGGCGAGTGCTCTACCACACAGCTATACTCCCAACCCCCCATATGTGTTATTTCTGCATCCCCCAGGGGAGGACCCATTCCTGGAGGCCCTGCAATACCAGATCAATGGGTAGAGTAGACAGAGCTCCTATTCCATCTCCTGCTCCAAACATCCTTTATCCTCAGATATTAAACTGATAAGACTGCTGAGAAATAGTCACATGGGTTTTTTTTTTTTTAAATTTGCAATACTGGGGCCTGAACTCAGAAGTGTTCACTTACTAGGCATGTACTCTACTACTCGAACCACTCCACTGGCCCTTTTTTGTGTTGGGTTTTTCTTCCTTTTTGCAGCACTGGGGTTTGAACTCAACTCAAGGCTTCACACTTGGCTAGGCAGGTGCATTCACTGATCAGTCCACTTTGTCAGCCCTTTTTCTGTGGTATGTTTTTCCAAGACCTATAGGTCTCATGAACTGTTTGCCCAGGGCTGGCTTCAAACTGCAATCCTCCTGATCTCTGCCTCCTGAGTAGCTAGGGATTACAGGCTTGAGCCACAGGTGCCAGCTTCATTTAGTCATTTTTGAGGCTGAGTGAAGAGGCCTCCTCAGTTCTCCAGTTCTAGTTACGTTAATCAAATTCCATATTTTTTGCTCTAAGCCCTGGCCCAGCAGGCTTGGACCTAGTGCTGTCAGCCTTCACTGGGGTTGTACATGGAGGGTGGAAGTAACAGGGACTGATGTCTGTTCTACAGTGACTCAGGCTCCATTTGGAGGGGTCCCTGGGCTTTCATGACAGGAACAGAGGTGGGCAAAGGTAGCCTCCTTAAGGCCCTGTTGTCCCCAGGGGACTCCTATGAGGCCAAGTACTTCCCTAGGCGCTGGGGTAGTGCAGATGGGAGGCTGGGGTGGTGGCTTTGGCCCCCTTGAGTCTATCCCCAGAGGAGGCAAAGGTTGGGGATAGGGCTGTGCCGGGCACTAAGCAGCTGGACGCCCTATGAAAAGTGGTCAAGTGCAGGCCATAGGATTTGGGCCTTGAAAGGGAATTTGCCAACATGGAAAGTTGTGGTGGAAGGATTGGCCACATAGGTCCTCTCCTGTCTCACGGGGTAACCCTTAGAAGAGACACTTGAAGACACTTGAAGAGATGTCTTGATCTCTGCCCACAGATCCATTCCCCCGTGGTGTTTCTTTGTTCCTTTTTGTGGAAAGTCCCAGACCAGAGGCAGGGGCAGCTGCTGCCCAGGGGCAACTAGGCAGCTCCCCTTGGGGAGGAATGGGCAAGGCCACCCAACTGGGGCACAGACCTCAATGTGGGTGAAACAAGGCAGGGATGAGAAGTTTCCAGGAATCTTTGCTTTTAATAGGCAGAGGCTGTAAGAGCACAGGTGTCTACCCTGCAGTTTCAATTTGGGCAGCTGCCAGTAAAATATTGCCTTTTGCACGGCTCATTCCTGGCTAGTTAGGACAATAGTGTTGGGAAATGTAGAGAAAAAAAAAAAAAACCCAAAACGAACAAAAACCCCACAAACCTGAAAAAACAAGCCATGCATTGGCCGGGAATCGAACCCGGGCCTCCCGCGTGGCAGGCGAGAATTCTACCACTGAACCACCAATGCTGCTATATGTCACTCTCCCATCTGGTAACCCAGGTGGTTGGTTAAAGTGCTGTGTACATGGGGCTAGACCCCACAGGAGAAATGAAGTGTTCATGTTTCCAAGAAATCTGAATGACTATCCTGGCCACAACACCCCTCCAGACCCAACCCCGCATGGCTGAGGGTGGGATCTGAGCCCGGCAGCCTGCTGGCTCTCTTCTCTCCTCCAACCGGAATCAGCAGCAGCCGTGTTTCCTGGGCCGCCCACCCAGACCTCCTGAAGCCAGAAAGCAGCGGGTGGCTGGAAATTTCGCCTGCATTTCTGGGGACCTTGCAGGATAAAAGGGAAGGGCTGGTACTCCGGCCTCACCTTGTAGGCCGGTCTGAGCTGCGGACATGGACAGTATCAGAAAGTTGTTTCAGAACTTTATTTCCGTTCCCATGCATTCTTCCTCTAACCCCCATCTCATCACTCTCCCCAGCACCGGGTGTCCCCACAAACCCTTCCTGCCCTGCAAGAGATCCCCAGTTGTCTGCACAGATTCCCCACCCCGGCACCAGTGCCTCGGAGTGAGCGTTCAGTGTGAGCCTGGAACCTTTCCGGAGCAACTGTCCTCTTCTAAGGCCTGCAGGCAAGGGGCAGGTGGCCTGGCCACAGCTCTGACTCTGCTTGCTGGCTCTGCATCCTGGCAATTCCCACGGCAGGATTAAAGGCTCTCACCCTCCAGAGTGGCTTTGGGCTCTGTCTTAGCTCTTTCCTTTCATCCTTTGCCAGACTAAGACCCATAACATCAGCAGTGCCTGGCTCAAGCAGAGGAGCCTTTAGAGGGGTCAAGGTGCTGGCCAGAGCCTGCAGGTGATGTTTTCCTCCTGCCACCTGGGACCATCAGGTGGGCTCCTTATCAGAGTACAAGCAGAGGGAAGCTGGTTTCCTGTGGTCTTCCAAAGTGATCTTGAATTAGGGTTTCTTCCAGTGAGGAATTCTGGCTTTCTAAAGAAGAGCTGCTTACTTGTTTCCCAAATACAAATGGGGACCAGGCAGAGAATTTGGCCCTGGACAGTGACCCTTCTCTCCATTTGTCTCTGCAACAGTAACTATGACCTGAACTACAAATTGCACAGAGAAGATGTCCCTTACAGGTGGGTGAATCTTGCCCTGGGTCCTCTGGGGAGCAGGTAGAGCTGGTTGGCCTGACTGTCCCTCTACCCTGTCCCTTTAGGGTGTATGAATATCAGAGGATTCCTCCACTTATCAACCAGGTGCCTGCCAAGATCCGCAGGACCCATGTGGGCCTGGGAATCAAGAGCAGCTGCAACCCACACAAGGCCTCCAGGAATAGCCATCTGGCCCCCAGGCAGATGAAACGTGAGTGATGGGGCACAGACCTTAGCTGCAGCACTAGGGAAGAGCTGGGCAGCCTTATCCAAAGTGAGGGTAGGCCCCAGAGCCTTGCAACACTACCCTCGTCCCCTACAGCCTCTGTGGGCACCAACCCTGGCCTCTCTCCCAGCAGTCCCAACTGAAGAGCTGCACTCCATCAGGAGGGCACTGAGTCAGATCAAAGCCCAGGTGGACAGCCTGTTGGAGAGTCTTGAGCACATGGATCAGCAGGACGACCAGCCTGAAGGTCAGGTATCCAATAGGCCCAGGCCACACTCTAAGCAGGCCCAGCTTTTCCTGTTCCTGAACTTGCCAGAGCACCAAGGGTCTTGCCTTGTGCTCTCCCTGACTACAGGCCTCCCCTACCCAGAACACACCTCTCCTCCACTCCCTCTGGCTGTTCGTCTCTTGTGGCTTCTGGGTTGTCCCATTACCTTTGCTCACTTAGCACCTCTCTAGAGCCAGAGCAGTGTCCCTACTTATCCACCTCTTGCTCTCTGGAGTCCTAGAGGCCTGAGATCACTGTTGGGCCCCTGATGGAGTCAGCTAGGGCCTCCAAACTCAGCCATTGACTGTTGACTATCTGCACAGGGAAAAAGGAAAGTGAAGAGAGCAGGAGCTCAGGAAGTGAGAGCTCCTCATGCAGAACTACTGAGTCTCAGCAGGAGCCCAGGGACCACAGGGCCTGTCCAGAAGCAGATAGCTCCGAGGAAAACACGGATGTGGTGCAGGTAGTGAGTGGTCTGCTCTCCTTCCCTTCTCCACCCTACTTATGTTGGGTCCTTATGGCCTCCCTGTGAGCAAGGAAGGATCACTTCAGTTTATGCAGGAGCCCACAGTGGGGTGTGGGGAGGCTTATAACTTCTATCCCAGAGCAGTGCCCAGAAGGATGAGCGCTACCCTGTTTTTTATTCCAAATCTGGGCTTGGTTGGCTCAGCTGTTTCTGTGAGGCAATTGGTCACTTGGGTCAGTCAGTCCCAGGCTGAAATATCTAGCTGGAGGGGAGGAGAGAGTTCAGCATTATAGAGGTACTATCACAGGTGTGTTTCATAGCCCTCGCATAGGAACCACCTTGTGAACTTGTTAAAACTCACATTTTTGCCCTCTCCCTGGGTCTACCCCCACCTACTGCCCCAAGGTTTTTGGGCTACACCATACCATACTCCCTCGGAAAGCTGTGGAATATTGACTTTGCTTAATGTAGAGCCAAACATGGAACCGATAATGGTCCTTTGTGCAGCATTAAAGGGTTTGAGTCTTCCCTGCCCTACCACTTCCTTCAGTGGTCCTTAAGCTAAGTCCCACAAAGCCTGGGTTGCAGAGGGAGGGACTGGAAGAAGTGAACTGCCCTCCTCCCCTGCTCAGCTGAGCTCAGGAGGGCCCTCACTGATACCCATGACTGAGTCACAGCTGCCTATGGAAAGAGAATGGGCTACATGGAAAGAATGTTTTCTTTTGCCTGTTGGTTCTGTGTTCCCAGGTCTCAAGAAGGGCTGGGGAAATGTAGCTTAGTAGTACAGGGTATATTTAGCATATGCAATCCCTAGCAACCCTCCCCTATAAAAAACGTACCTAGAGTAGCTCTAGAGCTGCTAAAGCTCCAAGACAGTGACGGAGTGGGTGGGGGAGCAGGGGGGGACTAGATGCAAGTAGATGACTCTTTCCTAGCTCTGACCTCTGGTCCAGAAGTCCTGCTTCTGTTTCTTTCTACAGGTGAAGAATCAAGCATCCAACCAGGAGGGCAGTCAGTAGGAACCCTTCCAGGATCATCAGCTCCATGCGTCTTCTTGGGTGACTCTCTTCCTTACCTTGTGTATTTTTTTGAAGGCCCCTCCAGCTGCACCCCTCAATCTGAGGCACCCATTCTGAGCTAGGGCAATGGAAGTGAAGGCATGGCATAACCAGATCAGCCAAAAGACCTTTCCATAGTGGTGAGGTTAGCTTTGGAGGTTGTTTCCAAGTGAGTTCTGGAGCTGGCAGGATGGGGAGGCCTGGGACAGCCTGAAGAGCAGTATCAGCCTCCCTGAATGCAGATATTGCCTAAGCTGCCCATGTGCAAGATCTGCTCTAATGACGTATAGCACCATGCATTCTCCAGCCACAGTGGTAAAACACATCTGTGTTGCAACACTGACCTGTGAAGTTTTTGGCATGTGTCCACCTAACCACTTGTCGTTCCAGACTTCCTATGTACCCTACAAAGCCACCAGTTAGAATACGAACATACATATTTTTAGTTTTTTGGGAGTGTCTTTTTTTGGAGGTGGGTGGTACTGGTGTTTGAACTCAGACAGGTCTTCGTGCTTGCTAGTCAGGCAGGCATGCTCCCCTTAGGTCACTCCTGCAGCCCTGGGAGTTTGTTTTATGTCCTGTTTCTATCTCCTGTCTCTCTAGTATACTATGTATTTCAGACCTGCTCTAGAAAAACAGAAGGGGGAAAAAAATAAAATCTGTATTTCTTCTTCCTCATCAGTGGTTATCGTGATCCCCAAACTCCTGATCCTTGGGCTATGCTAGGCCAGCCCTTTCTATAGCTTAACAGCCCCTTGAGACACACCCCAGGTCCCTGCCCTGACTTAAGGGCAGTCTCACATGGCTTCCACCATTCCAGCCCAGAGCACAGCAGGGCTCAGGAGCCACCCAAGGAAGACCCCACCCTCCTAGTTAGCCAGGTGTATCTGTATCGTTTCCCAATATCCAGTTCAGTCTGTGCTGCCCAGGGCCTTGCTCCTAGGAGCAAGGTTGGACAAGAGGGACCAGATGATGAAGTCAGTTCAGGATTCCCCCTTCTCACCAACAGTGGAGGCGCCTTCTGGTTGCTCTGCTCTGCTGGCTAAGAAAGAATGGGATCTGGCTCTCTCCCTGCACCCAGCACCTTTTCCAGCTGTGTTCTTAACCCACACTAAGCCAGAAGCAAAGAGTGCTCTTGGGACCACTGAGTTCTCCCCAGTTTTGTCACATGTCAGCAAGTGCTCTGGAGTCTAGCACTTGAGTGGGCACCCTTTCCTCCTCCAAACCTCACTACCCACAACCACCTCTGTAGTCACTTCAGTATTTCACCCTACCTCTTCTGCGCTCATTGGTCTAAAGGACAGGAAACACTTAAATTTAAGGCACTGCTGTCCCAATGCCTAGACAATAAGGATCCAGGAACATACCAGAAGAGCCTTCTCTTTAAATCTCATACCAAGAAGAACCACAACTCAAATGTTTTTCAGATATAAAAATGTTTGTTGTTTTAGCTCGGATAGTGAGAAGGCACAGCCACTCATCCATCCTCCTAAAAGTAGCCCAGTTATATTGGAGGGAGTCAATGGTCGTCCTGCTCAGGGTCCATCCCCAAGACCATAGCTCCAGGTCTCATTTTGCAGGAAGTCCAGCTGAGGTCTTCTTCCAATTTCGGAATAAGGCTGCTTTCACTTTTCTCCAACTGCATCGTAGCTGGGAGCCAGCTCAAGTAGCAAAGTCCCTTTAATGGGATGGTTTCTAAGAAGCCTGCCCAACACGGCTGTCCAGTGTAGCGCTCTTGTGTGTGCGCACCAGTCCGCACCCTCTCCTGTGCTCCGGTTTCTTAGCTCGGGCAGTAGGGAGACCGACAGCGGAGGCCCTGTAGGGACGGGATGGTGGCAGCGTGGTCCTCGGCGTCCTTGTTGCTCAGGCATCTGATTCAGGGCGGGGCGGCGGCGCCCCTCCGGCGGGCAGCCCGTACCAGGCACTGCTGCAGCACGGGGTAGAGGCGCTGGCAGCCCTCCAGGCCCAGGCGCACGGCCTCGGCCCAGCTCTCAGTCTGGCCGCCCTCTCCACTGCCCAGCAACCCAGCCACCTGGTTGAGCACCGGCATGAGCGCCACGGTGAGGCCGGTGGCGGCGCGCTCCTCCTCTAGCCGCGTGGGGTCCAGCAGCCAGGTGGGCGCGGGCCCCGGCGCGAGGCTCAGGCCGCAGCCCACCACCAGGTCATACATCTCCACTCCCGCGTCGGCCAGAGCGAGTGCAGCGGCCGTGAGCGAGGCAGCCAGCGCCGAGCCGCCGTCCTCCAGCAGCAGCGCGGACACCTCGAGCTGCGCGCGAGGGTAGCGGCCCAGGCGCACCGCCGGCTCCAGCGCCTCCTGCAGCGCCAGCGCCAGCTCGCGCTCCTCGCCGCCGCCCGGGGGCGCGCGGCGCCGGCGGCCGGAGAAGGGCGCACGGCGGAAGTCGCAGACCAGGCGGCCGCGCAGCGCGGCCGGGGCCTCGCCTCCCGCTCCCGCAGGGCCGCCTCCACGCTCACCGCCCTCGGCCTGGCGCGGGCCCGACACGGCGCACAGCACTTTGGTGCCTCCCGCCTCCAAGTAGGCCGAGCCCTTGGCCTGGCTCAGCAGCCCGGCGCGCGCGTACACCGGCCGCAGCCGTGTCGGGTCCCTGGCGGCGGGCGCCTCGTCCTCGTCGGCAGCGTACAGTTGCGGTGGCTGGGACTCCTCTGGTCCGCGAATGCGGCGGTGGTCCCCTGGCATGGCGGCGTTCCGCGTGCTAGCCGCTTCCGCCTGCCGCGCGGCCTCGCACTGCGGCTCTTCCGCCGGCTTAAAGATACGCGCCCGCGCAAGGGCTGTCGGGATAGCGGCATCCGCATCGCCCCCTGGCGGCCTGGCGGGAGAACGGCGAGCGCTGTCCCTCTCCCCACAGACAGGCTAGCTAGCTGGGTGGCTGGCTCCAGCAGGCCTGCCCACGTGATAACTGACCTCTAGCCTTCCAAGCTAGGGCCATCTCAGTGGCGTGTCTTCTTCTTTTCACCTGTGAAGGTTGCCATTATTTAAATTTCGCACTTATCCAAGATGATGAGGGCTTCTGTACTCAGTGCTCAGGTGCTATTAACACTTGAATAAATAGGAATGTCTGCCTTTCTGCACTGGTCACTGGGCTGTGTGATCATCTTTCTACCCTAACACTTAATCTGGCATACGCTCCTGGAAGCTCTCTAACACTCCAGGTGAAAACTGTGTCCTCCTGCCCTCTCCCCACCAAACTCTCAACACCCTCCACTCTGCCAGCAAAGCTCAGTGACTGGGCCCCAGGACCAGCCTGCTGTATCTCTAGGAGCTAATGCAGACAAACAGTACTTTTACCTCCCCCACCCTATTGATTTCCAATCCCACTGTTGTAGACTTGGCCGGAAGGGACTCAGGGCCAGGCCACGGACTCTATCCTATCTTTGGGTCACAGAAGCAGGAATGATGGGCAGTCATTGGGGCAGAGGAGACAACAACTTGAATCCTGAATACCTTCTGTGGTCAACACCTCACCTGGCAGAGTAACACCAAAAGGAGGATGAGGAAGGACAGAAGCCTAAGACAGGGTGAGGTTCTTCCAACAGAAGCTCTAAGAAAGGTATGTCACCTCTCTGAGTAACCTGGTAAAACTTACTGAATTATATCAATGCCTTGCCCCATCTCTTCCCACCTAGTCTGCCTAAACCTCCACAAACGTCTTGACGAAACTCCAGGGGCCATTTCCCAAAGTTCAGGGGTCTAGAGCTGGACTTAGTGAGGATGGCAACCAGAAGCCAGCTGGATCCACAGCCTGTCTTCTAGACACTCAGGGAGCCAGGGGCTGTATGACAGGGGCTCCCTCAGGAGAAAGGATAGAGACTGCATGGCATCATCAAATATTGCACATGGTCCTTTTATTCTCTGCAGCAAAAAGCCTCGGGTGAGCAGAGAGAAGTTACCTACACAAGCATGAGGACATTAAATAGCGATCCTGGGGTAGTGGTTCTAGACAAATGGTGCTGACGTGTAGGGCTCAGGGCAGTAATGGAAAGGGACACTGAGTCACAGGATGGCTCCAGGTGTGTTCCAGTTTCTGCTGGGTTAGGACAGATGGGGCTGTATCTTGGGTCCCAAGATTCAAATGTCTTTGTGGCAAATAAAGAGTCCTCGGCTAGACTGATACATCCAGGTGGCAAGAGATACTTCCCAGTGAGAGCTGCCTCTCCCCTCAGTTTTTCACATCTCCCAGGCGGAGCTGGGCAAAGGAAGTGGCCAGCTGCAGTGCTTCCTGCAGGCAGCCCACGTTCTTGCCTGTGGCCTGGGCAGACCCGTCCTTGCCCCCACCTTTGCCATCCATCAGGCCTGACACCTGCTGCACCCACTCGCTGGCTTTCAGGCCCCGGTTGGCAGCATTCTAGAAGACAGGAAGGGAAAGTGGGAGTCAGGACAGAGGATGGGACTGGGGAGAAATGGAGGGACAGAAAAAGGAGGGAAGCCACTGACACCCACCCCCACACTCAGTGATACTACCAAGGGCTACAGCTGGTACAGGGGAACAGCCAACGGCCACTGCCAAGACAGGGCAAATGGCAAAGCAAGACACCAGTCAGTGCAGTTGAATATTCACAAACAAGGTCTGGGGGCTAAAGGGTACTGGAGAAGGTGACAGACAGGTGGGTGGGTGTTTCTCACAGGGCTGCACACATATAAACAGGTCTCAAACTCTGAGAAGCTACAAATGTGCTTCCCACAGGATTTGGAACAAGGCGCAGGCATTCTGACCTGGGGAACTTGACACAAGCATGTGATCTTGCCAGCCTCATTGTCCACTGTGAAGAGCATGGCAGACGTCTGAGGGGAATATGTCTTGAAAAGCTTCAAAGCTTCATTCAGAGCCTGTGGGCAGAAACTTGGTCAGGCTACAGCTCTGAGGCAGGAGACCCAGCTGTCCATGAGGGAGTTTGTAGGGCTCAGCCCAAGAGCACCATCCTATTCCCTTCCCATAGCAGGTGTTGTCTCCAGAAGCTTGTATGGAGAAGGACCCAAGCACAGGGCTCTGCCCTGGCTCTGAAGTATGCCTTCCACTTCCAGGGAGCTGCTCCTTCCTCCAGCTACTAGATCTCTCCATGGCTCAGCCTAACTTCAATCCTACGTAATAGGCCCTCAGGTGACCATATGGCTTAGAGCCATAAAACCCACCCATCGGGCCAGGAGGGAAGGGGACCTATAGCAGACAGGCAGGACAAGCCTAGACCCAGCCTCTGATTGCCTTGGCTGAGGCACCGCTCTCCATCTCCAGGATGACCAGAGGCTGGTTAGGGTTGCTGTCAATGAGCTGTTTTGTCTTCTCCAACACCTGTGAAAAGAAAAGTCCAGGAGAGAAGCTTAGGCCAAGGCCCACACCCCAAAACCCAGGCAGCAGTCCTGCCAGCCTCTGCTGAGGAAAACCTTTTGGCTCCCTTCCACACAAGAGCACTACCAGAACTCACTCGCTTCTGGACATCAGCTTTGCTGGCGCGGTCTAAGTCATCCATGACCTTCTTCAGGGATTTCAGAGTTTCTCGAAGTTCATCCTTCTGCCATTGGGGGATGACTGCAGTGGCCAGCGCCTGGAACCAGAAGGAGAAAACCATCTGGGTTGAGCCACAAGGAGCCAGGAGAGGCCTTTACTCCACCCCACTGTTCTGTTTGTAAACCAAAGTCCTCCCCAACTAGTGTCTGGGGAAAAAAATCAAAAACAAAAAGGTGCTTTGAGAGTAGTCACTATAGCAACTGCAGCAGCTGTCATATGTAAGGTGGGATGAGAGAAAAGGACAGTGCAACAAGGGCTCAGCTTTCATGTAAGGACCTAGTCCTTACTAGACCATGAACACAGCCTGGGAGGGTTACCAGATGCTCCAAATACTAAGAAACACCAGGCAGGCTCAGAAACAGTGGGCTCCCTCAGCACTGCCCCGACTCCCTCACCCCAATGCCCACTCTAGCTTGGAATGAGCTCTCCTGCTCCAGCACTTGGACCGAAAGGCAGGGCTCTGTGAGCCATGATCCATGGAGTCCCCTTGGGTAAGGCTTCAGGACAACAGAGTTCAGCCCAAAAGTCCAATCCATGAGAATCAGGATCTGACTGGCTCCCATGGGGATTTTTCAACAACAGTGAGGGTCTTACTCCTCAGGAATAAGGAACAAGCAGGCCCCAACGAGGAAGAAGGCCGCCCTTACCTCACCAAGGTCAGTGATCTCCCTCTGCACATCCTTGTTTGGTGCAGTCTGGGCCTTCACTTTGGCCTCCATGACAGACAGCAATTTCTTCAAGCTCTCTGCCTTTCTGAGGGCCTGGGAGGGGGACAATCAGAGCTGTGACTCCAGGCAGATAACTGTCAGTATGACTGCTCTATCTGCAAATAGCCGTGGAAGCACTGATGACAAGGTGTGAAGTATACACCCCAACACACCAGAAATTTATTTCCTTCAGGGAGCAAGTCCTAGGAGCCTCCTGAACCAAAAATGAGCACCTGCCTCACACTTCTAGCCAGCAAAAACTGCACCCTAACTCAGGTTCACAGGGTGACCAGGAAGTCACAAATCAGAGTCCCCTTTCACCCTGTGAAATGACCACTCCTCAGGACTCAGCACAAGCTACAGTTCCCACCCCCACAGCAACTATCCTTCCATGCACACACCCCTCCGAATACATGGGGAAGCAAGAGAGCATCTGAAGTTGGAGCCAAACCCTGCCTTCCTTGCTAGACACAGATGTATTAGGAGTAGGAGGCAGAATTTACATATATTTATAAGATTAAATGTGACAGCAAGGAGAGTTTGTGCGGTGGTAGAAGCAGGGGTAACTAGAAGCCTTCTGGAAACAGCACAATTGGTGCTTTCATTCTGACTGCAGCAGCCACAGAAATGTTTGCTCTAAGGATTCACTAGCTGGGTTCCCCTTGCCTTGATCAAGTAAGTCACATTCTAGCCCAATCTGCTCACCTTCTGGGCTTCAGCACCTGTGACAGCAACAATCCTTCGGATACCCTTGGCAATAGCTTCTTCAGTTACAATCACAAAAGCTCCTGCGTGACTTGAGTTCTGCAGATGCCTGAATGGCACAACAGAAAGGCCATGGTGAAGAGGAAGCCCAGGTGCCCTGGCTTCCTCCCTGATCTGGGAGTCACTGGCAGGAAGCTTACGCCCCAATAGGCAATCCCTCCAGGGACAGTAGATGAGTAAAGGCCCCTCATGTTTAAGGGAATTTCAGAGCACAGCTCTGGCTAGACAGGGCAGGAGAAGCAGTGGGAAAGGAAAGAGAGCCAGAGAAAGCTTGAGTTTGAGAATATTCTGACACTACCTCTCTGAGCCTGTTTTCTCATGTATAAAATAAGGGCAGTTCTACTTCACATGGCTGCTGTGAAAATCAAATGAGACACACATGAGAGTGCTCTGTAATCCCTCACATCCAATACAACACTACTGCTTACTAGGCTCTACATGACATTTTTGATCCTTTGATAGAACGTAAGATTTTTTATATCCCTGCTCACTAGGTGAAAATACTGGAGGATTACTTTTAAGATCTTACCACAATCCCTTAAACAAATAGGTGTTATTCTCTAGCTGCTCAGAGAACTCAAGGACTCATTAACTCTCATAATCATTTTACGGGATGGGGTATGAAGTCTTTGAATACTGTTTCCTGTGCTCTAAAGGGTATTAGCAAAGCCAGGTCTGGTAGCTTTGCCCAGCTATTCAGGAGGCAGAGGCAGGAGGATCAT